GCCAGTTGTCCAAAATCCTACGGTACCAAAAGGAGGGGTTTGGAAAAAGGGTGCCAGGCCGAAAACGGGATGCAGCCGAAACAGCAAAAGATAGACCAGGGATCGAGCCCTAGCGAAGTCCGTAACAGGTGCTATAATATAGTAGTTGACAGCCTCTCGTAGACCTGACACCTTTGCTGTGGTTGTCCATACTCATTTGGAGATTCCATGAAAGAGGCCATAGCAGATGTGTTCCCTTAGGACCCGTCTTCGACCTATCATTAGGAATCTGCAAATAGACCCCAACTCTAAGCCAAAATATGCCATTACTTCAAGCTTATTGTATACCATCAGCGAGGGTGAGGAACGTTTGTGCATCTCTGATGACTGTAATGTCAGGACTCATCTCATTGCAGAGAGTCATGATGCTCGCATACATTTTTGGTTTTTGAAGACCTATGGTGCCCTGATCCAACATTTCTACTGGTCGAAAATGAGCGAGGATGTCCTCCAATACTTGAACACATGTGAGATGTGCCAAAGGGACAAGGTCCATAGATGACCTCCGATGGGACTTCTTAAACATTCGCCCATCCCAAGTGGCCCTCGAGAGTTTGTGTCAGTTGACCTTGGCAAGACCACTTCTTGTAGGATGATACGAGTGATGGTCTGTGTTGACCGTTTCACTAAGTATGCAGAGTTCATTGCTTTAGCGGTCGAGGCAAGAGTCTGCTGATCAGAGATATCTTCTCTGAGAGGTGGGTGAGTATCCACGGACATCCAACCTCTATTGTTGGTGACGGAGGCCCACGATTCTGCAGCAATGAGAGGCCGTTCTACTACAAGGACTATGTCCACTCCAAACTGGACATGACCTTAGGCAGACATACGGAAGCCAATGGACAGGCTGAGGTGATGAATTAGATCCTGCGCCAGCTGCTACAACCTATGATCACACCTGATCAACAGGACTGGGACAAAAAATTGTCCAGGGAACAACTAATGTATAACACCTCGATCCATTCCTCCACCGGGTTCACGGCTTATAGTCTCCATTGGAGTAGAGATCTTAGATAGCCTCTCGATACAATCATCGACAACGCTAAGCCAAACTGACTCCTGGCACTGCAGAGGTTGTCAAGAGTTACAAAAAGGACTTAGAGAAACATGTTTTTTGAAGTGCCGAAAAGAATGATTGAACAGGCTACAAAACACATATTGTCTTCCTCTATTCGTCCCGAACATTGGGTCTCGGTCAAAAGATCTGAATTTTTAGATGTAGAGGATATTTCAAGAAAGTTGTTGCCCATCTATTATAGCCCATGGAAGGTTCTAGATATGGTTGGGGCTGATCCTTTCGGTCCTTCGTACAGGTTGGCAATGCCACCACATCACAGAACCTACCCTGTCCTTCATGCATCAAAGTTGCTGCCTTTCACACCCTTTGATGCATTCCCATACAGGCCTCCTCGATTCGGCCCGCCTATTCCTGGAAAGGGGTATGATGCCGATAGCATTGACGACCAATGGGCCACAGGCCCCAACTGTGAGTAAGTAGTGCCTTTTCCAACCCCATACTGAAGATTGGTGGTTTGCAAGGAAAGTACTTCTCAAGACCGCCAAGTCTTTTGTACTGGCGCATGGGGCCAAAAAAGAAAGAGCTGCTGCCCTGCTGCGCTCCTCGTGATCACTACTAGCTCGGGAGTCCTCGCTCCCTGGGAGGGTAGAAATGCAATGAACTTGCAGTTTCTCAGGGGGCTGTAACACTAACTGGGTCAATTTTGTTATTCTTCTAAGTTTTGGGTCCTAACCGGTAACTGAAACAGGCCTAGTTCAACAGGGACAATTTTTGCAAATTCCTAAAAACCGCTACTACTGGTCGTAAAATCTGTCCAGGCCTAAACTGATCTTTCGTGACTGCAAGGGACTGGTGACCTTTCGTGACTGCAAGGGACTTGTAACTTTTCGGTACCACAAGGGACTGGCGACTCTTCGTGACGGCCTGAGACCGGTACCTTTGTTACTGGACGAGGCAGGACCGTTATCTTTTGCTGAGTCTTAGGTCCTCGGAGTCCGGTCCAGTAGGTCCGTAGAGAAGTATAAATGGAGTCCAGTTGTAGAGGTCTTTGACCAGGTGGTCTGCAGTTGCTGTAAACGCTGCATGGAGATTAGTGTTAACGCCGCCAGGCTGCCACAGCAACGCTGGGCTTCTGCAGCCAGCGCCGAAGCAGGTGGTGCTTCAGGCGCTGTGCCTGGTGACATCATATCTGTGCTGTTAGGGTTGGGTGCTGCCATATTTTGATCTTCTTGGCAGCTGTTTCTTCTTCTTCTTCAAGGTGGAGGTTACTTCCTCTTCTTCCAGAAGGTGTGTAAAGGGAGTGGGTGAAGAGGGTAGTCTTCTTTGTCATTGTGCATGTGTATGGGAACGTGCGAATGCGTTGATGAAGGATGATGCTTCAATCAGTCACATAACAGACAAGTGAAATACTACGATTCTGAATTATCTATCTAGGGCCGGTCAGTTTGACGGCGATATCTCAAGGTCATCGCCTTTTCTTTTTGAACAAACAAAAAAAAAGAAATGGGAGAGAAAAGAGGGAAAAAAAAGTGTTTGGAGTTTGGGCTTTGGTCTGTGAAGTCTTTTGGTGATGATTTTCTGCGGATGAAAGAGCTCAGAACTAGAGCGAGCAGATCATTTTGCCGCCTATCTAACTTCCATGTCTTTGATGTGTGACTTCTTTGGCTTTTTTTCTGTTGTTGTACGTATGCTGTGGCGATGATCGACATATCCTTCTTCATCTCTGCAGGACGGCTGGCTATGGTTATGGGTCAGTTGCCCATCGTGCTTCCTTGGCGTTGAGAGTGTTGCGTCAGTTGCCCATTGTGCTTCGTTTGGCGTCCAGTATTGCCTTCGTGGAATCTATCTGTAAGAAAACAACCTTTTGGCGGTGAAGTTACGCCCGGCAAGGAGCTGTTCGGTCGGGAAAGCGACAGCTTCAACAATCTTTTGCTCTCGTCTCCTTTGGCACCACGGCTTCGCTGTATGTATATATATATTATATATGCGTAACTCTGACGAAACAGTTTGTCACAGCCCCTCGTTTGTTGTCCTCTTCTCCCTCTCTGCCTACGGTTTACCGGGCAGTTCTATTTGACGATATATTATATATGCGTACGTTTTACCGGGCAGCTCTGTTTGACGATATATATGTATGTATGTATGTAGATGTATCTCTCATCCCCCCCTTTGTCTTAGTTATTTCTGCAGAAAAGGGGACCACCCACCATCTTTCTTAACCCTTAACCTTAATGAGAGAAACCCTATGACTAACCTGAGGTCAGGTCAAGCAGAGTATTATGTTTCACCTCTTTTTTTTTCGGATCAATAGTCAACAGTTTGACGCAGCTATCCTTCTTCCTTATTATCATCGCATTCTTCCTTGTTCTTGGCGTAACAACTTGGAAACCTTTTCTTGTGCTGTACATTCATGACACATGATTGTGGGCTCTTCTGTTTCCCTCAGTCTCTCAAACTGCAGCAGCAGCAATCTGTGGCCCATTCCCACTGGGCCCAGTTGATTCCCCTGCCTACAAGGAGATCAATGGTCATCAGAAACTTTCTTGGAATGCGTTTTTCTCTTCATGACGCCGTTGAGCTGCTCTGTGACATTCAATATGGTACTATAGGTATAGATCAGTGAAGAATATGGTACTATAGGTAGAGCACAAGTTTAGTATTATTGGCCGGTAAATCACTGAGGCATCTATCTATCTGTGCGTTAATAGGTAGATTACGGAAGCATTGGCGTAATAATTGGTTGATCCCTAAGAACACCTGGACGGCGTAGGGAGGGCCCTGTTCTCGCCATCACCGTCGACGTCGTCATTGCCAGCTTCATCTTCCACCTCGTTGGAGCATTCGTATATATCTCCATTCCAGCGAAATGCACAGCCGACTTTCCGCCAGTGATGATAGTGAGGATGGAGTAGAGGAGGAGGGGAAGGTAGCAGAGAGCATCAGTGGATCTGGCATGCCCTTGTGGACTGCGCTTGTACCTGGGTACCAGCATGGAAGTAGTGCTGACCAAGCTGATGTGGGGAAGAATGCTGATGACGATGACAGCGATGAGGACGTTGGCGCTGGTAGAAGCGATGGTCCGGGCAAGGGTCTGCAGGCAGAGAAAGTGGCAGGGTCCGATTCGAGCTTTCCGGATGTCAACAACCTCGATGCGTCCATTCGGTATCTGAATCAGATGCTTGTGGTGTATGGTTTCCCGTCCCCGTTAGATTTGACTCCAGCTCCTGCGGACAATGCGGCGGTTGCAAAGACGTGCAACTGCTTGTATGCACTCCTCCAGCAGCGTCAACGCGATATCGAGTTCAGGGACTCGATGACTGAGCAGAGGCAACGGTTGTTGTCGGCAACGTCTCGGCTGGAGGCAAAAGTGGAACGCCTGGAGACGCAACTTACGAGCAAAGACCGGGAATTAACGACGATGACACTGGAAAAGCAGAAGATGGGTGCAGCTCACAGAGTCCAGATTGATAAGCTGCAATCGGAGAGGGACGAGTTCCAACGGATGTCGATCGGCATGCAGCAGCTGAGGGTGCAGCAGGCGCATGAGATAAGAAAGAAGGAGAAAGAGTACACCAAGTTGCAGGAGCGCCTGAATCAAGTCGTCATGGAGAAGAAGAAGGAGAGTAAGGCCGGTATGGATATAGTCAACATGCTGCAGAAGGAAGGCCGGCAAAGGGGGACCTGGAGTGGGAAGAAAGCGGACAGCGATTTCTACAAGATGATCGTTGATTCCTATGAAGCCAAGAAACAAGAGTTGCTGGTGGAAAACGCTGATCTGCGAGCGTCGCTACGCTCGCTGCAGGCCGACATGCGTGAGCTCTTGAACAGCCAAGGACACGTGAAAGGCGACGCGAATCATATGGGTGCCGTGATGACACCCTGCGAAACACCTTTGAGGGGGCGCACAGATATCTTCGATCTGCCTTACCATCTCACACGGGACGAGATAGAGAACAGTATGCGTGCCAAGATCGCATCCATTCGAGAGAGGATGGAACACCTGCAGTCTGCGCAGTCGATGGTGCCGGAGAGAGAGACAGCAACTCAGCGAGAAATCGATCTTGAGGCCCAGCTCCTCGAGGCTAGATCTCTCATTCAAGAACAAGAGTCCATTATTCAGATGTCTATCTCGATCGGCGATGCCCCACGGCATTCGGAAAGGATGAATATGGAGCTTCAGCAGGAAGCTGCCTTGTCTGCAATGGAAGAGGATCGCGCGCTGCTGGAGGAGCGGAAGCGTCAGTTGGAGTCGGAGAGAGCGGCATATGAGAGTATGGCGTTGCAGCTGGACGAGGAGAGGCGGAAACTTGGGAGAGAGAGGCGGAAGTTGGAAGAAGAGCAAAGGGCTTGGCAGACGTCTCTGCAGCTTTGGGGGGGGGGGAATGTGAGCTCGCCGCAGGAGGAAGGCCATCACCATGTCTCAGGTGCTTCAGATGTCGATATTTCCCATTCAAAGCTGAGACAAAGTGCGGCGGACAGACTCTTGCAGGAGGAAAAATTCCGACTGCCGATTCCACCTTTAGGAGACACTGTCTAGTGGATTAACAAACAAGCCTCTGTACGGAAGGGCCATCGTCGTGTTTATAGTGTTCTGGCAGAAGAGAGAACCTCCGGTGTGGACGTGTCCTGTGCGAGGCTCCAGCAAAATGGAACGCGCAGAATCTTGCAGCATCAATGATCATTTTCACAGCAGATTGCACCGCCGCTCGTGGATGCTGTGTATGTAGTATGTACCAGGCGCCGCATTGTCATGAGACAAAAAAGCTTTCTGGAGAAGTGCAATGACCGGACTGGTGGAAGAGAGGGTCTGCCTGTTCTTTAATGTGTGTGCAGTTTTGTCGCTGGAGAAAGTCGGATGTCATTCTGCTTTGATGTGCCCTCTGCAAGTTCCTGAATTTGATTCTTTGGGCCTCGCTCCGCTACTCTCCACATGCACAAAAGACAAAAGTTACCGTGCTGTATCTTCCCAGGTTGTAGCGGAAGACCCATTCTCATTTTGAACATTTGGAGAGTAGTGTAGCGAGGCTCTTTGTAGCCACACAGGTGAGGTGACGATGCTATCGGAGGCAGAGGGTCCGTCGAAAGCAAGCCTGCGCTACGAGCAATCGTGTGAAGCCTCCACATTGCCGTCAAACCACCGGTACTTGCTAGCCTCTTTTTCCCCAGGCCGATTTCTGCCGCGCGCGGTTCGAGGTTGCAATATATATTTGTATATGCTTTTTGCCTGGTGCTGCCAGCATTTCCGATTCCGTAGGCCGAGCCCCGAAAGTCCTGGTCCGCGTACGGCCACGTTCGAACGATTTGCCTGTGAAACGTACGGGCAAGGGGTTTAAGCTCAGAGTGCTGCTTTCCATAGGAGCATAGAGGCCGATTTCTGCCGCGCGCGGTTCGAGGTTGCAATATATATTTATATATGCTTTTTGCCTGGTGCTGCCAGCATTTCCGATTCCGTAGGCCGAGCCCCGAAAGTCCTGGTCCGTGTACGGCCACGTTTGAACGATTTGCCTGTGAAACGTACGGGCAAGGGGTTTAAGCTCAGAGTGCTGCTTTCCATAGAAGCATAGGGTGCAGTAAACTGGAAGAGGGGTGGGTCTCCCTTTCTTTGACACCAGCCTATAAGGCTTGCGGGCAGCAAATAGTCAATGGCTGGTTTTTGTACTGTGAAGTGCCCTCCATAAACTCCAGAATTTGGTCCGTGGTGGCCTTGGCGGTTGAATTATGATGATATGGGCGAGGCAGAGAGTGGGTAACACCATGAAGGAGCTGTGCACGCATAGACGTGCACTCACATGTGTGGATGTCGGTGTGCCTCAGAGACACATGGAGACGGGAAGATGGGCTCCAAGAACGTAAGTGGGAGGGATGGCATGGATGTGTGCCCGCATCGACGTGCGCTCGGATGTGTGGATGTCGGTGTGCCTCGGAGACACGCGGAGACGGGAAGATGGGCTCTAAGAACTTAAGTGGGAGGGACGACATTGCTGTAATTTGTGTACACACTAACGCCAGTGTCAATGGTTTGCGACCTTCTCTTGCGCCAAGGGGTATGTGTGGATTCAGTGGGACGTTTGTTGTTGTTAAGGTGGATAGAACGTCGGTTGCTCCGATCGCTTTTCAAAGAAGCAGCAGCATGGTTGGGCAATGGGATGTTGCACTGCAAGCTGCAAAAGAATGTTCCAAAGTTTTGTAGCAATATAATATACTTCGGTGTAGTTGTTTTGCCTTCAGGAGAACTGGCTGAACCTTTTTTTTTTTTTTCAAAGAACTTGCAAGGGCTTTTTATGATTTTAGAATCTAGATGTTTTTTTTTTTTTTTTTTTTTTTTTTTTTTTTTTTGAGTGGAAAGGTGGTGGTGTGCATGTCAAGGACTTGCGCGAGGTCTATTTTCTGTTGTGTTCAACATCATCAACCTTGCCTCTGCCCAATCGGCAGAGTTTCCTTCTCCCCTCGTAGTGTATCTTGTAATCTACTGCTCGCCTCAATCAAATGGATTCTTGTTGTCGTTTTTTTTCTTTTTGTTTTTTGCCCACGCTAGTCTTCTCTGTATCGTTCCAATTTTCACAGAGGTCCCAAAGGACTGTCGTTGTTTTTTTTGCAAATAATAAAAAGAGAAACAGGGCGACTGCCTCGAGATATCATCACTGAGCTGACCGGCCCCAGGTAATTCAGAATTATATTATTCTGTTCATCTGATTACACATCTGGATTTGACCTCGTATCACCCCCCCTAGTGACGCTGCTCTGGCATTTCAATAAAAAAAAACGAAAAAGTAAGGAAAAAGACCATCTGGATTGAACTCGGGTCTGTATTTCAACACTTCATGGGTGTACCAACTGAGCTAGGGCGTTCAATCAATAATGGAGTCTACAAGGTTGATGAAACGGTTTGCACCTTTTGCAGAAGCAGATGCAGATCCCAGGATTCGACCCCTAGACCTTACCCGCACCCGTGTACAGTATCGAGTAGACCCTGAGTGTTTTGAACCTGCGACCTGTGTTGTAGTAGTAACTGTCCATTGTCGTAGGTCCTTGTAGTTGTAGGGATTCAATCTGTAGATCTGTCAAGTAGGGGTTACAGCTGTGTAGAGGTCGAAACTTCTAGGCTAAAGGTCTGTAGGTAAGTCGTAAGTCCCAATGCGCTGAGTCGGCAGTGCAACCGCAAGCAGTCAGCGGTACCGGTCCCAGTCAGTCGCATTCCAGTTAAGCAAGTACCGTGTGGGACTGTGTGCACCAAGGGCGTGGAGGAAAGGGGCAAACCAGCTACCAACAGAAGTATAAATCAAGAGGCAGCATCCAGCAATTCATTCATTCGCTGCATAAGCCATGCGGAAGCGCTGCTCCAGCTTCTTGTGCGAGGTGGTCTGCAGAGCGCCCGAAGTCGAAGCGGGTTGGAAGAAGATAGCATAGCCATAGTTAGTAGTTAAGCGGCCATAGCCGCTGTACGTAGGAGAGAGGCGCGGGTGTGTGAATGTGTGTATTCAGGGTGACCCAGAGTTAAGTGTGTGCGAACGGTGGTGTTGGACACAGTGACGAGAGTTGGGATGTGTAGGCACAGATGCGCCATAGCCTGTTGAAGAAAGTTTGCGTCTGAACTGTGTTCTCGATTTCCATATCTCTGAGTTTTGAGTGGGCGCTGTGCGCCAGTGTGAATCGCTATCTGTTTGCATGTATGTGAAGTGAGGGAGAAAGCGAGTCTGATTGCATTGGTATAGGAGCTGGTTCCCGTTGCTCAACTCGCCATCGCCGTTGTTCGAAGTTGGGCGCCATGGCTGCAGCTGTGCCAACAAAGGAGGAGGGTTTGCCATAGCCGCACCGAAGACGAAGAGAGAGAGAGAGAGAGAGAGAGAGAGAGAGAGAGAGAGAGAGAGAGAGAGAGAGAGAGAGAGAGAGAGAAGAGAAAAGAGAAGGTAGTGGCGAAGTCTAAGAAAGAGGGGGGGGGCCAGAACCGCCGAGCTCGGACACGGAGAAGACGAGTAAAGAAAAGAGAGAAGGGACGAAGAGAGGGAGAGAATCCTAGCTGAGGTGGAGGACGAAGGAGAGACAAAGAAGAGAGAAAGCGAAACTATACCAGGGGGGGTGAAGAAGGTAGGTGAGGAAAAATCCATAGCCGAGGGAGGACGAAGAAGGTGAAGGGAAGTAAGAAGGAGGGTTGGCAGCCATAACCAAAATCGACCGAGGTACTTACCTGCGTTGACCAGATGTTTACCGAAGTTGACCAAGTGTTTTTCAGTGTTGACGGGGGTGCATGTTGGCGTTGACCGAGGGGTTGACCAAAGTGTTGACCAGCAGTGACCAAGGAGTTGACTGGGCCGTTGATTAGTGTTGACCAAGGTGGCGACCAAGGCGTTGATCGGAGCTGTTGACCACCAAGTTTGACCAAGTTGGAGTTGGTATATTCTCGCCAAGCCTTCAACCTATCCCCTCGCCCTATGGATGTGCACACACCCCATGGTACTTGTTGAGTCATTCTGTCTCTTCTTTCTGCATTGAGTCTCTTCTGTCCAGGTGATAGGAACTCTGTGTATAAAGTCATAGAGCTGCGTTGACCAAACCCACACGAGTTGAGTAGGGCTAAAGGCCGTGTTTGACGACTGACTGACTCGGAGGACAAACCCTCCCAAGGACCGGTACAGACCGGCGGGCTTCTCAGTGTGGCACGGTAGGCCAAAAATCCGAGTTGTGGGCTGCACAACCAGCTGTCTACGTCCTGAGACGACTTGCTGATCGCGTCGTCCTGTTTGCGACATTAAATAATTCCTGAGGAATTACGGGGGATCTCCTTTTTTTTTTTTTTTTTTTTTTGCAAAAGCTCTTTTGTAAGGCTCCTTAAATGCCTCCTAATCAGCAGTAAGTCCTGTAGTGACAGCCTAGAAGTAGAGTCGGGCTAGAGATCATAGTTGGCAGGGTCCTCCAAGGATTATGTGGTCCTTAGTAAGTCAATCATAAGTTAAGTCAGTCAGGGGGTGAGAGTCTTAAGTGGTGAGGAGTGAAACTGTTATCCGGTTGTACACCTTTCACCATGGTTGACACGCGAAGTGGTACGAGCACCACCCCATATACAAAAGAGCAGGAAGAGAGTGTCGCCGCCATACTAAAAGAAAGAAAAGAGGAGGCCAAGAAGAAGGCCCTGCTGGAAGCACAGGTGGCGAAGAAGAAGAAGCTTGAGGAAGAGATGGAGAGGGTGAAGAAAGAAGAGGAGGAGAAGCTTAAAGAAGTAGAAGAAGAAGAAGAAGAAGAAGAAGAAGAAGAAGAAGAAGAGGTACCCTTGGTGAGGCCTTTGAGGAGAGAGGAAAGAGGAGAATCAAGTGGGACCAGTGAAGATGAGAAAAAACTGGAGAAGATGGTGTCAGAACGGGTGGCTAACTTATCCCTGGGGGAGGATGAAGAAGCATTGATGTACATCCCCCCAGGATGAGAGGGATGCTGCTGTGGCAGAGATAAAGGCCTTGAAAGACCCGTTAGAGCAGCACGCGCTGGAAGAGGAGAAGAGAATGGAGTGGAAACTGCGATTGAGAAGGCAGAGAAGGAGGCGCATAGCGGCGGCTACCGAGTTGGAGAAGGAATGAGCTGAAGCAGCAGAACAACATGCACAGGCGTTGGCACAAGAGGACGTGCAGAATAAGTTGAATGCAATCGCAAAGAGTATAGATGTATTGATTCGCGTCCAACAAGAGCAGATGCATACCTCAAGGGGCCATGACATAGCCCTACAGTCCATCCGAGTAGGCTTCAGAGATCTTGCCCACGATATGATGATGCGGATGGGCACTGTGATGCAGGCCCGCATGAAAAACGCATAACAATTTTGTGTTGGTGCCATAGACGGCGCCAAGCTCGCAACTCGAAAGGAGGAGGAGGCACGCCCGCGTAGGGAATGAGTTAAAATAAAGTTTCCTGACGCCTACAACGGGAAACAAGGGGAAGACTTTGATAATTGGGAGGCCTACATCAACTTCTACGTGCACCTCCAAACATTATTTATGAGGAGCAAGTCCGCGTCCCGTTCCACGCCCTTAGAGACGAAGTGTACAGCTTCGCCAGGTCGTTAGCCCGCGCCGCCAAATATGACAATGACATGGTGGCGTACTCCACCATCACTTCCCTCAGTGAGTTCCTAAAGTTAATTCGCAAATGTTTCGCGGATGTAACTAAGCGTTAGACAAGCTTCAAACCATCCACACACGACAGTGGAAGAGTGCAAGGACACTTAAGGGGGCCATGGACGAGCTTGTCCCAATTCCTAACCATGGAGTCACTGAGCCATAGTTGGTTCAGTTGTTCTATCGTGCGATGCCCGAAAGTTTGCACGGGCACTTCTACGATAAGTTGCAAGAACAAGGGATAATGTATGATAGATTAAGTCGCGACGTCGTTGCGTATGAGGCTCAGTCCACGCCAGTGAAAGCTTTTTAGCACATAGATTTTGACAAGGGTAAGAAGTGGAAGGGCCAGACCATTTCAGGGCAGGTTAAGGCGAAAGATAGTCTGATCCTGACATTAGACAAAGGAGGAATGAAGGAGGTCCCGTATAGTGAGATAGAGTGGGGCCTGGAGGAGGAGGACAGAAGTGTAGGTCACGGGAGGTCCTATGCTGTTGTCGCGGTTGGAGGGAGGCCGCAAGGAAGAGGAGGAGGTCGGGGCCAAGGGGGTCGGGTCTCAAGTGGTTGAGGACAGGACGATCAGGGGGTTGGCGGCAGGGGAAACCGCCAAGAGGGAGGTAGGGGTCAAGGTCCCCCACAAAACCGACCACGTTCTAATCGGTTACCTTATAGGAGGGGTGGATGGCACCTTAGCTTGCCATAGGGCAGACCTTGGGAAGATTTGGGTCTCGATCAGAAAGTATGGCAGAAGAGGATAGATCATGATCAGTGCATTTGTTGCGGTGATCCATGTCATATTATCAAATATTGCCCAAAATATAGGGAGGCTTTTTTTTTTTTTTTTTTTTTTTTCCCTCCCCCCCCAGTGTTAGTGCTGCTGGTAAGAGCAGACACCAGTAACACCTGGGGAGAGGCTCCATCTATTAGTGGGGAGCAAAATATAGGGAGGCTCTATTTGCTGGACAGGCAGCAAAAGGCAACCGTCGGTAGGGGTTGCAACTGCCCTTACCCCTAGACCATGTGGAGAAGAGTGTGCGCACCATAGAGAATGTCCCAATCCACATGTGTCTATGGCAGAGGTTGTTGGCCAGTGCCTAGACAGTTGTCCAGAGACTGCTTGTGTTAGGGTCTCTCTAGGCACTTCCCTCACAGGCGTGGCAGAAGAATTGAAGGAGAGGATGCCTGCCTAGGCCAAGATGAAGAAGGATGAAAAAGGACAGCTAGAGGCAGAGTAGGGGCTCTTATAGACAGTGGCGCTACCCGTAGCTATATTAGTCACAAGGCGCTACAGAAGCTGAAGTTGAATCTAGAGGTCCGAAAGCTAGAGGAACCTATAGTCAACATCCTCGCAGACAATTGCACAATGCAAGTCGAGGATTACGTCGAGTGAGTCCAGACTT